AAAGGTCGCCTGGTTACATAAGAATCATTTAGCCAGCTTTACGAGGCTGAACAGAATGAGTTCAGCTCGCCCATTTAAAATGCTCTACCTCTGATCTAGGCTTCATTGGCCTGAACGCGAAAATATGGAGAGTTTGAAATCCAGTAAAGACATCCAGATTCCAAAATTCACGAAACAATTCTAAGGGCTAGGCAATTTGGCAGATTTCCACTTGGACGTTCGTGGTTTGTTCAATTTAACGCCGCCATAACACAAATTCGCCGGTAAGAAAAAGAGGCTTTGTAACATCGCCAATAAATCACTGCGCATGTTTTAGGTGTTAACTCTTTAGTACACTTCCTGTGGCACTAGAGCACTAACATATTAGCTTTGGCAAAAAGAAAGTCAACTACTGACCTCAAATTCCAGTGCGGTTGGGCCCTGCTCCAAAACTTGCCGATCACTGTCACCAAATTATCACAAGTGGCAGCTGAAGAGTACTCATCCGAGTCTAAGCCGAAAAACGAAATCTAAAGATTGCACACAATTTGCGGTAAAGCGGTGTCCGGCAAATTTTCTAGTACCGTCATAAAGAGTTATATATTTGGCTCCATTTAGAAGCCTGTGCAAACGCGTCGTAATAGAACGCGTGTTGACACAAGATCGACAATTTCTGCATTGCTTACTGGTCCTGGCGAGAGACAGTAGTAGCAAAACTCTGATTAGCAGCTTTCCACACACATTAAAAGGCAACATTACTTTACAAAACCAATCAACTGCAGGTTGATTTGTTGAAATTTTGCACAAAAGCAGACCAGAGAGTAACGCTAACAGGACCCCACAGTGTGTACGAAAATTCCCCTATGCAATGTAAAGGGTTTTACATTCAACAACAATGGCTGTATGCAGCAAATACATCAGCACTTTGGTTTGTTTTACGGTAGAAAGACATAGTTTCATTTCTCTTCCCAAATTCTGGAGAAATGAGACAGCAAAAGAAGATTGCATTATTAAAATACAAAGGCGATGAAGTGAGGCATACAAACACAAAATTCTGAGCGCAGAAAAAGTGGAAACAAAGTCATGTTTATTGTCAAAGGATCAAGTTTAACACAGTAACGTCTGTGGATGAAGCAACCAAACACAATTTAGCCAATTTGATGCACAAATTATTACAAAACCAAAACCCAAGTTTCCGCGAAGTCCAATCCAACGGATGCACCAGGTAACCAAAGTAGAAGTCAAGACTAAGCATCAGAAGTCTTTTTTTCTAGATCCCACTATCCAATCACGACTTCAACCCGATTTACTCGGGCTTCAGAAGTCAGAAGTCTACGAAATTAGACCATTAGCCACTTATTGGAAGCAATATTCACTCACGCTTTTCAAGTTAAACTTTATGCTTAGGTACCTTACCTATTGGGTTTTGTGCTACCCAATGGCTAATAAAAATGGCTAGCTCAATATTTTCCTAGTACTTTTCACGGAGGAAAACGAATGAATTGCAGCAAAAGCAAGACAATCTGAGATACAACTCATAAAAACTATATTTTTATTACAGTTGTAGCACAGCACACTTGCCTTGGATTCGAAATTGACAAGATAATTGTTAATGTACCGGTATTTATTTGCCAATGCAGACCGACGCGTAAAAATCACCCTTAGGAGGATGATCATCATAAGACAGTACAGATGACAGGTAAATTGAGGAGAAAGTTGCTTTGGGCTATGAGTTACCACTCACCTTGAGGATAATGACGCCCTCGCCTAACTAGACTAAGTCCATCTTAGCAGCGAAAGATGACGCCCTTAGAGCACAAACAAACACCAGCCCAGCACGGTCTAATGTCTTATGTCACATTCTGTTAAGTAGATTGGACTCAAAAAACGCTCCATTACTGCATCTCTGCCAGACTAGATGATTTAATAAAATTGAAACCAAGTGAACGAAATAAATGGTGAGAATCCTAACAGTTCGCAAAATTTCAGTAAACAGAATGCGATGGAAAAAAACGTGAATGCCATTGTAGTGTTAATACACAATTTGGAGCTGACGAAGTGTGTTGTCAGTAAAATAGTGCAACATGGAGCATGAAAAGCGGCTTGGAACTGCATAAAGGCCATGTCACTCTCTGGTGCTTCAAAAGTGGAACGAGATTCAGGGACTGGATTCAAAATTCACTAATGCGACACTCTTGACGAAGTATTTAGGGGAACAGTGGACGGTTCAACAATTATTGGTTATTGCATGAGTGAGAACGCGGTACTTATTAGGTGAAGACACTCCCTGGTTCGTTAAATACGCCCAATGACGCGTACACCTTTAATCAATCAATTAACTGAGCAATTTGCAGTTGCCAATATGTGAAGAGTGATTTAAACGCGCGCTCAAACGGACTACGTAAAAAATCTGGACATGACAGAGACAGTCTAACAAAAATGAAAGACAAAAAACCAGGAGAAACGCCCCACGAGACATTTCATAATGCTAGTGAAGCGTCAATTGAAGCCAATTTCACCTAGATAGCCTTAGTAAATCATTCCATAAAGACGATGCAGGACAAGAAGTCTAAGCGATTGGATTTACATGAAACAGCAGATCAGCAGAAATTGAAGATGTGGGATGTGATAGGAATCTGAATACTGACAATATCGAAAAATTGTGATAAAACGAGTAACCTTCGATAAAAATAGCTGATTATTGTAGTCAAAATTTGGAACACAATGGTGGCAGCATGATTAGTTGAGGCTGGTTTATTTAACTGACAGCCCATAAGTTCTCTGTGAGTAAAATATGCCGCATCAAATCCCCTTAAGTTGGGTGAATCTAACGCAAACTGATCAAAAAAGCCAACCGAATAGGCGTGATTCCACAATTATTCACTGCGATGCAACAGCCTATAAATTGGTAAAGGCCGAAAGGCCGTACTGGGCCCATCATGGCCACTTGAATGGGCCTCAGCAAACGCCAAGTTCTCAGTACCTCAGTCTTTCTTCAGAATTCCAGTTTTTAAGAATCCGAATTAAGCAGTATATCACGGTACACGACCTAATAAAACATTGATTCACTTTATTTCCCGGGAAACAGCAGTTAACGGCTTTCTACAAATAATACAACTTTGATAGAAGAGGCCACCACTTCATCGTTGCATCGAAAAATTACTAAAAGATGTTTATTTAAGCTCACAACAATAAACATCTTACCTGGAGTGTTTGTTTGAAGGGATAAGACATTTGCCTGGAAGGGGGACCTAAATTTTTGAAGCGAAATTTGACAAAGTTTAGCTTGGTAAAGAATAACGCAGAACACAGAAAAGCACACGACGACGGATAAACACAGACGCCCGCTAAGATATCTGCGATGGAAGGCGCTTCCGATCCATGGCATCCCAGATAAGTGAGGTGTTGTAAAATCCTTACCAGGATCACGACTTTCGTAAGAAATATTAACGAGGGCTGTTACACGACCTTACAGACAAGGCTTGCAGAAAACCGTTTATGGTAGATTTGTCTTGAGAAAAGCAATAATTGAACAATGCGGAGACCACAGAAGTTAACTACCAGTGCAGTAATAGGCAAAAATGTAAATTCTCGAGAAAAAATTGGGTTGTCAATTAATAGAGCATATCAATCGCACGCAATCAGCACGCTTGATTACCTCTATGCCCTCCACTAACAAAGAGGTTTGCATGGGTAAAAAGACTGACCCCGATTTCAAACCAGCAGCACCGAACAGCCCTTGGTTAAAAAAGAACGGAAAATTCGTGATCACGCCCCTCTACATTAGCAGACAATTATCACCGCAAGCGGAAAGTGGGCTTCTGAAATAATTTAAACCACAATGCTGTGAAAAAGCTCTCCAGTTTCGTGTAACTGCTAGAGGCATGTCTTTTATTTCGAAGATGGATGAGAGAGCATTAATTAAAAAGGTATTTTTGCATACCGTAATTGTAGATGTTTCCGACTGTTAGAAAGCGAAGAGGAAGGCGTGCCTCCTTATTTAGGCACCCGTTGAAGAAGGAGCCTTAAAAATGCAAACAACCACTTCAATTTCGGGCAGTAATTATCACTTTGACTATTTGACGTTTTTCTTTCACATTTGGGTAAAAATAAGACACAGAGCACTTGGGGAGGCTGCACAAGGGATGATTCGAAGGAGGGTGGAACACAGGTGGTGAACGCAGAAACCCATCGCCTAGATTTTAATGTTTGGGCAAATTTATCGTGTAACAAGAAAGCTCCCAAGTTTGTTTTGTTGGACAACATTAAAGCAAACAGGTTATTTTAAAATTTGGATCCTACGCCAGTTGGAGATATTACTAGCAGACAAGAATACAACTATGATGATAAAAAAAATTAGCAATTATGCATTTGCTTAAAAAAGGCTAGAGCTTGAGGGTTACAAATAAAACAAATGCATTTTTTTTGAAGTCATGGAAACAATTGCTTGAACTTTTGTTTCAAATCCACCGCTCATAAACGCTACATCTTCAAGCCTGATGAAAAAGGGGCTTGTAATGCATTGAAAACGGGTAAGTAATCATTTAAGGCAAGGAAAATTTGTAATCGCGAATGCAACTAATTGTTCTACACTAGCGATATCACTCTAACAATTAACATTTTGCACATATTCGCTACAAATACCTACGCATAGACAGATTAATACAGGACTTAGTAATGGTTTCTAATATTGACCTTCTACTACTATCAGGGGATATCTGCCGTTGTATGCTTTTGTGTTCGTGAGATGTACGACCTCTTAAACAGAGGTAAGCAGTAATCCTTCGAATGATGAGTTGTATGAACAGCATGTGAATTGTGAATTAACCGAATAGTGTCATTAAATGTTTACCAGGTCGTAAAACTACTTTGAGACAGAGTAAGAATTGCGTACTCGATTCGGGATGAGAAGTGAAATTCTTGGGAAGATTCACATTCGAAAGTTTCCACTAAAATCTAACTTGGGCCTCATCACTGCTTCTACCGACCTGGCTGCGACCCTGACGTACCTAGCGGTTCCATTAGTTAGAAAATTCAGACAAGGTGAAATGCATTAACGTGCCATCAAACGCAAACATGCCTGCAAATGCTGCTAGGCTTGCTGATCCGACGAGACAGAGTCGCGTGTAAGGATTAATAAGCGGTTGATCACCAGGCTTTGGAATGATGACATCGTCCTTCGTATGCTGTATCTGTATCACCTAAAGTTGAAACGATAACAACAATCATGCCACAAGAGCGCGATCAGTGAAACCATTGAAATGCCACAGAAATTAATCACTTAAACTTGAGATTTACGCAAACACCATTACATCGTTTTGTTTTAACCAAGTAAAATGTGGGCATTGCCATTACCCTATGAAGACCGCTTTTCTATAACACTTCCAAGGCTAACTAATTTGAAAAAAAGCCAAGGATCTATTGATTACAACAATGTGACAAAAAAGTGGTAAAATGCTACGAAAGTGACTTAACTCTTCTGAAGTTTTTGGAGAGCCAAAATTTAAGAAAGAAGTTAAAAAATGTCTCACGCAGAGCTGAATGATCAGTGGTAGGGTACAATAGAATGAAATTAAATACATAATAGGCAGTAATGGAGACATTAACTCGTAAAAAGTAAATTAGAACGGTCGAAAGTCAAATACCGTCGATGAGAAGGCTCAGAGCAACTTCAAGGGCCTAAACAACGCGCTGATCGCGTAAAAGTGTACATCTTGCTTGTTGTAGGTAAACCATCGTCATCAACAAGGCTGTTTGTTAGGCGGTTCAACCTCACTTACTTCATCCAGAGAAGGCGTCCAGGCGCAAGCTTCAGCCACTGGCAGACGAACAAAGTCCGAGAGCGAACACCTCAGGGCCGGGGTTCCCATTGCCTTCTCCACTTCACCGCTGATGACGGCCAACAGCCTCGACATCTCGTGTCGGAAGTCAGCAAGTTTTCCAGTATAGTACGTACCGCAGTCTCTTCAATTTAAGGCCAGAAAAAGGAGACATGTGTGACAATCACACATGAACTGTTGAAGGACATTATGCAATCGACAAACACGAGACGGCTTTCTAAAATCTTGACAACTTACACTTACAAGCCCGTGAAAAAATGTAAATAAGCTTACTAGTTTTGTCCAGATAAAATTGCAAAAGACCGCTTCAATTTCAGGCAATAGTTACCAATTTGACTATTCAACGTCATTTTCTCACACTTTGGGGGCATGTACCAAGGGATGATTCAGAGGAAGGTGCAGATTATAAGTAAGCAGACTTTTTTCAACGAGACTTAAGCCAAGTTAACGACTGACGTTCATACACATGTAAACTACTGATACTTAAGTGAGGGATCTATTGCTACACAGACAGTTATCTCCAGACGATTAGCGATAGGGAAAAATCACGACTCTCCCCCTTTTATTGTAGAACTGGAGGCATACACGACCTTAGAGACGCAAAATGGATGAGCAAACAGCTTTTTCCGCATCGCAATATTGTGTGGAGGAAATTACCCTAACTAAGGAAAGTACAAATCTAACAAGCAACCACTTTTTTGTCAACAAGATCTACGCCAAGTGGCAAAATACATTTCATCAAAAATAAGGCGTTTTAAGCGATCAGCTATGGTTTACAATAAAAAAAGGTTGATTTTACGCAGAAACAAATACCCAAACTATCATCTTCGAAATATGCCAAACCGAAAGAATACGCTGTGAAAATGTAATACCTACGGATGGAAAAGGTTTTTTTTTCCAACAAATTAACAAAATTAAGGGAATAAAAACAAACATTTGGTGGGATTGTTGTGAATAAACAAATAAGACCCTTCGAGGCTTCACAATCGAGATCATCCAAAACAATCGCAGCACAAAACAAATTGACGCTTTTCAAAACAAACTAAGGCACCACTACTCTCGCATAACGCTAAATGCTAATTCGTAGTTACTTCCCGTTTCTGACGGCTTTATTTTGTTTTGGAGCTTCATTTTTAATGATAATATAATTCCTGAGGAGTAGCTAGGCACGTGATGCAAAACTTCGAGTGAGGATAAATCTATGGTATTGCGTTTTGCCACACTGCGATGAACTCCTTAAGTCTAAGACAAAAACGTCAAATACTGCGGTTTGAGGCGTTTAAAAGTTCAAATGCACTGAGGACGTAGTTTAGTCTGGCACTTTAAGGCATTCTCTTGACACGGAGAGTACTTATTTTAATTGAATGATCACAAACCACCACTATTATTAGCTTATGGGTGCTTAAAAGGCAGCAGTGCATGAATACAATTTGGCGTAAAAATCAGTTGGCAGTGTGTAGTGGAGTTGGCAGTTGCGTGGTGGATTCTGTCTAGTTGGGCTTCCCCAGCACTTCTCGGACGGAAACAGAATCTGCAGCGGTTCATTGCAATCGCAGACATTGTACAAGTCACTTGTCAGCAGCAAGCCTTCAAACCTGGTGGTTTCATTAGTGTTAATGCTTGAATTAGACCGTGCAATCAGATTGCCCATCGTGATGTTGCACATACAATAAATAACTTTTCCACGCGAACAGACTTTTTAATTCCTAATTCCCTAAATCTCATTCATGGGTAGGTTTGATTGAGGCAGCAGAAATTGCAGGCGATTTCAGCAAACATGGGCAGAGACGGGCATATCCGATGTAGATAATCCTTTTCCACCGATTGAATGAACCAATCCCGTCTGGTTAGAGCGTATTTTATGACACTCGTTGAACGATTATTTCGGCTTAATCATGCTTAAATCTACATTCCCGGAGAAGAAGGATTAGGTGGAACTACGGGCCACATTCTTTAGTAACTAATGGCAAGTTATGTCTCCAGCAAACAACGACGACTTACTTGTTTACAATTGACGTATCTAGATCTGTAGCTCGTATAGCATCCTGGAGAGATGTCGGGGTGGACGTTTGAGAAAACAGAGTTTCTGGGGGAAGGGAACACTACAAAGACGATAGGAGTGGGTAAGCCCTCTGGTAATTGAAATAACCACTAGATTTCACTAAAAAAATTCAACGGAGCTGAGTGGGTTCAACGAAGAACTACATCTTACAAATTTTGAGAGTAATAAAAGCATTTAGTTATTGCCAGTCATTAAACTATTAAACAAATGAACGTAGGCCCAATACTTAAACCTAAGGCCAATTCCCTATCTGTGTAGACATTGAAAGACCATTTCAGAAGTTAGCGGGGAAATTTGAATACTTTGATCGATATCCCCAAGTACAGCATTTATAAATATACATAAAATTAACGCTTTTGCTAACTAGTAGAGATCATTAATGTTACCAGCACAAAGTGGAAATATTGAGGGATTGCTTTTGGCTTAGGTCTGGTCGATGCAACTTTAACGGCCTTATATCACTGAATCCAAAGCACAAGATCACCTACAAGTCCACGATCTATTAACAGGTGTTATAAAATATGTTAGTGCGGAAAATGACAAGAAGGCGTTTGGGAAAGCAGCACAGATGCGCCTCGACTATTTATTACAACATTCAATACGTAATTTCTTAAGACGATAATCTTTGAAGCAGGTAGCACATGAACGGATTGGGAATCAGTGTCAAATAATAGGTTTGAGAAGTCTTCTAAACAAGACAGCTCTTAGTTTCTTGAGGTCCACAAATTTATTTGCACAGAACCTCACAAATAACAGTACGTAATCCCGAAAGCCAGCTTTGCAAACTAGTTAGTCTGCAAATGCTTTTTATTAATTACTGGCTACACAGCCCAATGATTAATTTGAAATCCAAGATCGTTTCGATGAGGTGGAGTAGCTTTATGCCTTCTGGAAGATAAAGACAATTACAACGATAAATAGTTACTGGTATTTTGTAAGAGGGTGCCGATAAATGACCTTGAAAGTCCCTTGGCATTTGATTCATGATTGGACAAGGCCGTTGTTTTTGTCACAAGGCAGTTTAGTTTACAAAATCAGCTTTAATTTGGTGCAGAAATTTTTATTTGCTTAATTGAAAGAAGGCAGATGAGGCGTAGCAAGTGGACCGTCATGCTAAAAAAACAACACCGAACCGCCCAACGTTGCCACGGTAACCAAGTACTCACACCAGAGCGCTAGGCTAAAAAGCGATCAATCGGTAAAGCGAAAGATGCAATCAAGCTGATCCATTTTATAAAAAAAAAGTACAAGCACACCTCATGAGTTGCTAGAGAAATTACATTTACACGGTCGTGCGGGTCCACAGAATAACCACCAAATGCCCATGAACTGGGCTATGACAACAGCGTCCACACAAGGCACCCAGACAAGAGAATTTCAATTTGGGCTTTATGGGATAAACATACATGCTGTACAATTGCCAAAAGCCCGTTACTGCCTTTATCAACACGGGAAAATTCAACCCTTAGAGACTTTAAATACAAAATACTATCTGATGAAGAATTCCCCACCAAACCTGTCCCAGAGACTACAAAAGCCTTTTATTTGCTGCAAACTTCAATCAGCGGTCATTAAAACCTGGTGCTGGGACCGCTTAAGCGAAGCCTGTTTTCGAAAAGAAGTTGAGTTCGCGTGGGCATCCACACTTGTTCAAAGAATCGATGCATTGACGAACAGCAACAAATGTGACCGTTAAAAAACCAACCTCAGCTTCACGCAGTCGATTAGGCAACTTCAGAAGATCCTCCATGACATTGAAAGCAAGCGTTCTATGAAGTTCTTTTAACTTATTTTTCTCCTTTTTGATTAATTTCGACGCTGCACGAAGTTGGTCCTGAAGCTAAAAACAAGATATGCAATTTACTGGTGAGATACTTTAAGGTTCCTGAACGAAATACTCTATGAATCTGCAAAGAGCACAGAGCACAAATTTACTGCAATCTGTATTGATTCGTTACAGAGCTTATTGTTAGGATCTACAAGTAGCACACCATAAAAAATGAGGGGAAATGAAGGCTGAACGCTTAGCAAGAACTCACCGCTGCGTTTCCTGAACTGGAAGCTTCCTGATATTCGTCGTGAAGACGCAAACGTCGAGCTTCAATATGCTGGAGCTCCTTTTCATAAGCGCGAATATCACGAGCCTGTTTGTCCTAGCAGAGGAACACAGTCATAGACTAAAGTGAACATGCATACTTTTGTCAGTCAGCTTCCTAAAACGGTTATCCAAAGATTCACATCTAAAAACGCGTTTTTGAAGGCAGGACATTGGTTTTGGACCTGTGCAAAACTTGTGGATAAAACGAGGTGGACCACTATCCGGATTGCACCAATTGAAGAAAATATGGAAACGAATCCACTCTATTGCTGTGTTTTAGCTTATTAACATCGCCATGATCACATCTTGTAATAAAGAACACAGGAAATAATAACATATAGATATTTTTTGAGCTTTCAAAGACTAATAGACGGGATAATGATAAAACTGCACTTTAGCAAGACATCTCTTTTACAGGGAAGTTCACCGTTAAGACGAGGCCGCTAAATTAAGTGCGGCTGGTAAACTTTTAGTCGGAAAAAAGTCATTCCGTTGTTAAGGATGACATTCTCAGTGGTAAAACAATACTCGAACAATGTAATTGCCGTAAGTCTTCCCTCTAAAAAAACGAGCAAATTTGTAATCCCATTAAAAGCTCCCGCATCCTCATAATAATAGGTGTGCAAGTAATAGGCTCAACTCACAAGTCTTTCAAGGTACTCCGAGGGGAAGACTTCCGTGAGGCCTCTTCGTTCAACGCTCCGAGCCAAGGCGGCGATGTCGAATTCAGGATCAGCCTCGGCTATTGGAGTAAAATGTTCGTTTATTCGGTGAAGGAAGGAGCCTTTAGGAAGAACCGGAGTTGATGTGCATTTGGAGAAATACCGAGACGTCACAACTTTGGCCCAGCTTCGACAGTAAACTTGCTTCACTATCATCTTTCACTCTAAAGAAATAGGACTCATAGTAATGTCTACTTACAGCAATAGAGTAATTATATTTTTATATCCCTGTATATCCATTTGAAGCCCGGCAGCTAAGGGGGTGAACGTGAATGGCCCTACCCAATATTTCTACAACCGGTCATGTAAACGCATAATTTCGTTTAAGTGGGTGAATTCATATGAACCGGAAACATCGAAACACTAATTTTCAATTAACTCCCAGTGAGTGCGAAGTCTTCCGACTTTGTATGGGAGTTGGTTGACTGCCAGCCCGCAAAAATTCCAAATGTTGTATCAGAAATACGCATGTTGTCACAGTAAAAATACTGACAAGGTAGGGTAGGAATTTCAAATACTTTATGGTGGTCTTGAGCCACCATAAGTGGCTCCCTACGAAAATAACGACAACTGTGAAGAGGGCAGGCCCACAATTAACGACGACCAACAAAAGGAAACGGTGAGGTTAAAATGAAGAGAGAAGCCAGTACGGGTGCCAAGTATCTTGACAGATTGCCGATTCACAATTGATGACTTCGTCGAAAAGTTAGAATTCCGACAGATCTTCACTCTGCGTCTGAGTAAGCTCAAACGATTCAAGGTTAGGCTTCGAAAAAGAGAGAATCTCAGATAAATTTTGCATAAAATGTGCCTCAGAAACCATTACACTTAACTCTCGGGGAGGGGGGAAGTTCACCAGAAGCTACAACAACACTTTTTGACAGGTATCACAGGTGCCATAATCAAAGGGCAATAAGCGATGGTCAAACGAGAAACATGCTCTTAATTTAATTGGCCTATGCCACAGGATTTTATGCGTCAAGCCACCTTACGCCCCAACCGCACAGTGTTTTCGAAGCGACAAAATTATAACTTAGCGCAAATAATCAAAATTAGATATTTACCTTTTGGTGTAAAAAGGAACGCAAATTTTACTAGACAACAGAGTATCCTTAGTTCCCTAGGTATCCTGCTGACTCTACACTAGGGAAACACCGAGAACGCACAATCCACTACCAAAATCATGGGGAATACCTAACCCAGTGATTCAAAAGCCCCCCGAAAATGTGGGAATCAAGGTGTGTGCATGACTCTAGGACTACGCTTTGCGAAGCACAATGTTACCAACGGACATGCAACCAAAAAGAAACACTTCAGCACAACTTTATTTACATGTCGCAAACACGGAATCGCGGTCATTCTACTTCGTGGCGGTCAAGATCTGCATAGACTCGTCGTAACTTTTCCTTCTTGCGCTTCGCTCCTGCTTCCCTGTTGGCCTTTTTGATAGCCGAGAGCTGACGCCAGGGCTTCTTTAGGTCACTCGTCATGGCGCTTCCGTTGGTTGTGTAGGAAACTCCCGAGAGGAGACTGGCACCACCAACACTCATGGTTGAGGCAACAGTGGACCAAGAGGACGTGGAGAACTGGGAAGCCCCATCGTCAAACTCGTCCCCATCACGAACCACAGCAAGAAGTTTCTTGTTGGAGCGGACCAGGGGATGCGCTCCAGAACGTTTTTGCTGCTGCAAAAGGAAATTCGGCGTGAATGAAGAGAGAAACCAAAGGGTGTCAACAGTTGGCAATCACCAACTGCTTGAAATTTAGCCATTTTAAACTTAATCCTAATAGTTGATATTAAAATACAAAGGTACTGTGGAAATTATAAGTAGTGCAGCCATTTTACATTGGGTCTCCCTCCCTCTCAGGCAAAAGACGAACTAGAACACCACGTACGGGAACGCTTGCTACATAACCCTAATGTCTCAATGAAAAACCCAATCACAATTTGGAAAACACGCACCAATATACCACGCAGTCGTGCAAATGGCTAGTTTCAAGTCTTGGCACCAGTAATGTCACCGAGCGCTTTACCACAACGGTTTCGTCGACAGGACACTTGCATTGCGAAACGCGTGACGTTAGACCGGGGGTTAAAGCAGTATCGAAATGGAATAATGCAGATAATTTACCGTGGAAGACAAAGCGATCCGGTCAAAGTCGGTCAGGATATCGCTGTCCTTGAACGGTTTTTCGCTAGTCTTGTTGGAATCGACGCCGGAAGCTGGATTTTGTCGTTTTCGTTGCTGCCGCAATTTGTGCAACTCGGTGGGAGCGACGTAGGCGGAGAGGGGGTCCACTTCGGCGTCCCCTTGTTCGGCGACACCCAAGGCCTGGAAGTCGGAGGCGGAGACACCCGGGGGAGGGTGGCAGTATCGCAGGCGTCCCTAAATAGGGCAAATAGCCTTCTTCAAGTGGCTAGTGTCGAAAAGTGTTAGAAGGTGAGTTTACCGCTAAATTTGGGGCTATGCGAGCATATACGTTACCTAGCCATATAAAAAGGTAAGACTAAATAGAATTCTCGTCCCCATTGGCATGTGAGTGCCAAACATTGACAACCAAATTGATTCTTTGAAAGAAAATGAGATTTTTAATTCAAGGATAGTTACCAAGACAACAATTTTAGTGGAAGTGAGCTGACAACAGCCCCAGACACTAGTATTAATAATCAGTAACGATTTCAGTTACCTCGCATCCACTTCTATGCAAATAGTTTCTGTTAAAACAAAATGAAAGCTGCATAGTGGTGACACAAACGCATACCTGGTAGCTTCCTTGTTATTACCTGGAAGGCGACATTTCCAACCAATTTTAAAAACTAGAGATTCTGTGCAAATAGAGGACCTTCGTGGATATAGTGTTTACGTTTGTTTTACACTTAAGATAGAAGCAAGGGGACAAGAACCTCAAATTCACTCACCTTGATATAGTCTTTGAGTATAATACGAGCGGCCCGGTCATAATGAGGGTTGCCTTTTGCAGCCATGAAACCCCGCATACCTAGAGGCAGAGAAAAACGCCTGAAACCAGACAACCGACCATCCAAAAGTGATGAAGCCAGTACGAGCTATTCTAAGAAGCACCTGTAGCATTAATCATACATAATTTTAACTGCTACTTAAGAATACGGTATTCTTCCGATTTGACCCCAAGAGCTTCAAACTATGTGTGAAGAAAACAAGCATTATAGAAGCCGACATAGACACATTTTCCTATTTGTATTTATAGCAAGCAATCACCGTCATTAGTAGTTTCCGAAGTTCCCGCATGGGGAAAATTTCGCTATGTAAAGAGACCCCGAGTTAGGCACGCACGAACATTTTTTTTCGGTAGTGGAATATACACGCCGAAACTATCCAATGAATAAAAAGCATAACTGAAGAGGTATTCTGGACATACACGCATAGGCAGCAAGCAACTCGTGGGGAGTCGGGGGTCGATTAGGATCTTCGTGCTCCCTGGGCGGACGAATTGTGATACCGTAGAGAGCGGAGAAGACCTCTCGCGGGATTTGCTCACAAATCTGAGGTGGGTAATAGATGGATAAGTTTCCAACCAATCGTTCCACCGGATGCCCGTCAAAAGGGCTTTATATACAGCTCTTATCTGGATGTCTGTTATTCCAGTCTTACATGGTGAAGACTCAAGACGACTAAGTGCTGTGGAAAGCAAACTGGTTCCAAAGTTGAATCTTTTACCCCTAGCACATGGACTGATCCAAGGGTTTAGAAATGGCATTTGAAGATAGTAATAACTAAATCAAACAACATGGATTACGGTGCTCAACAATAATTTGCACCCGTCCCTTCTGTGTAAACAGATGAAAGCAAGTAAGAACGTAATCTTCGTTGATTTTTTTTTCAACCGAGAAACATTGGATATAATCCAAATAGGGCAAGATAGTGAACTAAAGCCAAGAATTCTACTCTCCGTAGTGAAAACCAATGAATTCAAACATTTACCTAGTACGGCTGAGCCAGTTAGAAATATTTCCTTGCGAATAAAAGCAAACTTACAACGCGAATAGGCGATATGCAGTCGTGCATTTTGTCGACTGGTAGGATGCCAGCAACAACGAGATCCTCCTGGGTGTATGCAAACGAGGGCATCACCATGCCTGGGCAGTCGCACAGCTGCAGATCCGGTCTCAGAAACAATGTCTGAAAGTGCTTCGTTTTGCCTGGCGTTGCTGAAACGGAGGTCTTCTTGGCGCCACAGAGAGCGTTGAGGGTACTCGATTTGCCCACGTTGGGATAGCCAAGAAATCCGACTGTCAAGTAACGGCAGCCCTCACGCCTTGTTCCCGAATTAGCCAATTCCGCCACCAGCTCATCTACTGACAGTATTTTGCAAGAATTAGATGTCGAACTTGCAACCTGATCTGCGACACAAGAGGACCTATAAGGAGTGGTTTTGCTATTAGAAAAAAGCTTTATTGCAATTACTTCAACACAAACATTGCACAAGACAATTATAAATGACACAAGTACTCTAAATAATATGAGAGCAGAATGAGAGAACCTAAGTAGTCAGTGAAGTATGTTAGGCTAACAGTAAAAAGCAAAAGTTCTTAAATAGAAGATAGAACTTTGCAGGAACACAAGTGAAGGGGTTCGCCTGCATTCTACATAGGAAAAGCCACAGTTACCATTCAACACAGGCTGTTTGAGCTTAGTGTTTTGGGTTTATCTTCAAACGGTTACTTCCTCAAATCGATTTTAACAATATCGGTTAACGCAGCAATGGACCAAGAGGAGGTAAAGTCAGTACAAGGTCTAGTTGAATTCTCAAGCAAAGAATTATAGCTAAAAAGTCTGTTATCCTGGCAAAGCAAATGAAAAAGTTGGTTAGCGTTGCATGATAAGAGCGAAAGTTAAGTTTTAGGTGACTTAAATTATTTAACGTAAATTTTGCGGTGTCTAGGTATTGGTTTAAATGCTATTGGCCTACTGTTGCGGCATGACTCCCACTTTAATATGACTTCGTGCTAATGCGTAGGATTCATAAAAGAGGAGGAAACACGACGGAGACTGGAGTTTACGACATTAAATGTGAATTTCGGCTCGTCATTTAGTAAAAGATTGTGATGGAAATTGAAGGCTAACAGTCTAGGATACCAACACCGCCATAGCAATTACAAAAAAAAACCTTTGAGCCACACCATTTTTCATCTGTACTGGCTTCTTCTGCGTCCTCATCCACAGAATCATCACACAGCGTCGAATGATCTGATGCTGAGACGTCGTCGAAATCTTCGCACATTTCAGCAAGAGTCAGAGCCTCACATTTTTCTTTCACTTCGTCTTCATCCTTTTCAGGTACCTGGGGTAAATGTTGCTCCTCCACAAGAGCGCCGGAAGCCTGTTGCTGTTGCGCATTTAGAGCAGAGAAAAATAGAACGCGAGTTCCAATAGAATTGAAATACGAGGCCCAGAGACGTCTGTTTGAAGGAATAAATGCATAAATGTGGTTTTAATGACATCTTAAGTAAAATAAATTACACAACAAAAGCATATACGAATTTGGTAGGGAATTGACCATTAAGGAAAAACAATACACCGTCGGAACATACCGTTGTTCATGCGACAGGAGATCAGATTTGTTAATGAGAACGAGAGTTGTCTTGCGACTGTCGACCTCCTTTATGTAATCATTAAGACAAGTGGAAAAGAACAGCAGTGGTTGTCGCGCATCTATAACTTGAATAAGGACATCACTCCGCTCGATGACTTGCCAGAGCTGGCGCCAAAATTCGAGGTTACGTTCATATGGTGTAATAACAATGCCGTCCAGTTGTTCTAATCTGAATTTGAAAACAATGATTGCTTAAAACGTCTGAATAATCGCAAACTAGGGCGTATAAGGGTACCTTGCGAGGTTTCGGCGCCAGGACAAGTAGGCTTCTTGTTCAGCATCACTAATTTCAGCTTTGGTCATTGACCGGTCAATTTTTGGTCTGTAATCGTAAATTTTGTTTAGATAAAGAACAAAACATTCAGCTTTACTAGGAGTAATACCTTTTAAGAACGCTTAAGCTATGCTTGTTCTCCTCCATTAGAGCATGACGCCTTGCCCTTTCATTTGGGGTTATAACGCCAACGATTTCAGCTTTCGACAAAATCTTCAAATCCATTTTCTCTACAAACCTAGTCTATTATGTTAGTAATTACGAGCTGCGAAGTCCATGTTAGCCAAATTAGCTGTATGAAAAAATTCATCCAAGGTAGTTTCTTGAGTTATTGATTGCACGGGTAGACGACACCAGTCATCCGAATCGAGTGGATGATCATAATTCTGCAAATACACTTAAAACTTAAGCAATACCATCTGTCGCCTCTCATTTTGCTTGTTTCGACGAACAAGAGCCTTACCAAGTGCTTTCTCCCTTGGCATTACGCAAACTCGGGAAGCTAATCACACGATTGGCAGTGTGGTAGTTTTGTAAGATTGCTTTATTAAAGAAGTTACTTAAACACCACTCATTTCCTTAATGGAAAAGGATGCTAGGTTTAATGCAATAATAAAATTTCTTAAAGCAAAATTTTAATGACTGCACAGTTTTTTGAACTATGATGTTTTTACCATCATGTCTGTTTCAATGAGGCCCACACCATCAAGGTTACATACAGAACGCACCACACAAAATTTTAAGGGAAGCCAGAGTGCATGAGGATTGCATGTGTTATACAATTTAAAAGTCAGAATGTTCGCTTTTCTAAAACTTCACTGTCGCTTTCATGTATAGCTGGTTAATGAGGTTTGAGCTCCAAATTAATTAACACTGCAGTAAGACTTGCCTGCTTCCATGAAGAGCAAGTCACATTTTCTGATGAACTTTTTCTTTTAGTTTATTTAATTTTCGGCAGCAATTATCCGTGGTCACCGTCTGACCAGTTTTTCAGGTGTTCGTAATTAAGTGCATCCTTCATGTCGCACCAGAAACACAGGAGATGCTTCTTTGAGTGGGTGTACTGTTGCAGCGTCGACGCTCCCGAAGATCAAAACCTGACACCTGCTTGAGCCTAAATTTTTAGTGCAAAGTGTGCCTTTCATTAGTAGTCACAATTTTACACAATAAATCTTTTTTTGTTCCCCGCAGGCAAGTAGTATAACGCCTGTGTTCATACGTTGATCTAGGCCGAGTTCCGACAACAAATATGGGGTACAAAACTTTTAAGTTATTGAATTTTTTCCAGTTCATGAGAACACTTGGTAGTAATTGTTTTTACTAATAATAACATGTTTTATTAGATACAACGTTGGCCTTTTTTCCTTGTTAGGTTTCGCGTGCAGTATAGTGCCAAACATGGTGTTTTTCTGTTGCCATTTGCAGTCTGCTCTTTTAAGGGGTTATAACAATCACAAAAACTTGCTGCTTGGTGTGCCTAAGCCTTGCGCCCGTTTCTTTCATGACTACAATAGGCCGTGAAAAAATTCATCATTGTTAACTGTGTCCTGTATCGAACGAGCCCTACACATAATTGTCGAGACGTTGTTGTGACGCCATGTACCACAAATTACCCAACAAGAATGAAGTCAGCGGATGGACAGAGGGTCAACCGTTTATTCGAGGACATGATGAAGTCGTCAGCGTGTGTGGGGTTCGTGCGTGTGTATTTGTTCCTCGGATGTTTGAGTCATACATGCGCTAACATCGAGACCTAGGTGTGAGAATAATCCTGGATAAATGTTTGTGAGAGTGAGGGAAGAGTTTAGGATTCGCGCGGCTGGCGACATGCTGCAAAAAGACAGACCCTGTGTCGGAGGCTAGAGTGATCGGATTGGCGAGTGTGAACCAACACGATTCGCAAAAATACCTTATAAGATTATAATTGTTTCATTTTTATTCGACTGCAGTAGTCTCGATCTAAACGATAGTAATGCGAATATCTTTTGCCCTTATGTAACCTTTAAATGAACTCAACCTGATTTCCATGCACATGCTTGCTAAAACATCAAACATTGAAATGCCACACCAGAACACGTTAAATTGATTTAAATACATTAAACGACAAGTAATCTGTTAAATACATATAATTGTGGTCAACATTTAAGCCATATTGACATTTTGAGTCGTATATAAACTGGTAAATAAAAGGGCTGCATTAAGCAAGGTTGACGAAATTCTTTAAACACATTATGAAACTAAAATATACGGTTGGCATTTATGTCAACTGTAAGTAAGAATCCTAATTTTCCGATCTGAAGGTTCCACGATAAACATACGATTGGTGGTCTTCAGTCAGCTCTTAATAGTTGAATGGGTTCAAAAATGTCGCATCTTTTTTGATTGGCAATCTTGGAACAGTTTTCGCATTTGCCTGGCCCTGTATTTCCTTTGATGGCATATTTCAAGTTTTGAGCAGGATTTAGAAAGCGGACAGAATTTATCCATATTTTTGTGGGGCTTGACGAGAACTTGTATCCTTTCTGTCCGAAATTGACTATCCTCGAATTTTGGACAAAATTTGCACTTGGTCTCACAAGCCAGTCTGAATCGCTTAGTGTCACAAAAACTTTGTCTTAAATTTTGTGTAATCGTTTATCAACTGGGTGCTTCTTATCATCTAGAAATCTCTTTTGTGGCGAAAGTAATGGTGTTTCATCCAATTTTCCAGATGTTCTGTCGACGTGTGGTACAGAAACATTAGAAGCCGACTCGTTTCTATAAGTTCTGGGTGTATACACGATTGGTTCATTTCTAATGCATGTCGTGCTGTTTGCGTGCAGACAGGGAAGCAACTGGTCGGTGATGTCTTGTGAATACGAGCAGCTCTCCAAATCCACCTCCACAATTTGATAACAAATGTTACTCTCGGACCTTCCTGAATTTGAAAATGATCTGGTTTCTGTTCTAGGAGATAAGCAAGCGCTTTGCATTTGAGAAAGTTTCACAATCGTGGACGAAAAATTGTTTAAAGAGATCTCACTATTCCCTTCTTCTTTTCTTAACTGTTTACCAGGCACGTTTTCATGGACTGTGACATGGTTAGGTTCCACCTGCTCTCGCAAATTAATTTTCGGATTAAAAGCAATTGTGAACGAAGCACATGAGCAATCCATATCTATTTCCACTACTTGAATGTATCTACTCACAAAGGATAATTCTGGCAAAGTTCTTACGCCATGTGTGATATTAAAGGTGTCGTCCTTATGGGCAGAACCAATATTCATTGCTTGTTGCGTTGTCAGTATTCCCTTTATCTTATTTCGAAGCCTCTTTGTCCACTTGAGCTTCCCCTGTTTGTCGTTTGATGGTGCACTTTCAACGGTTTTCGGTAGACATTTGCCAGCAAGCCATGCTGTTAGCTTTACTTTCCACCACTTTCGTTTGGTCTTCTGACCTACTTTGATCTGTGGAACTTCTTGAGCTATTTCCACGTTTAGCGCCTTGAATAACTTTGGTAAGCAGCAATTGTAAGTAGGCGGGGCACTTCTAGCTATGAAAAGATTTGCGTAACACCGGCATGGTGCTTGGGACACAGATATAGTTGAAGTAGTGGGTTGCGTTGCAAACCAAATACTCTCAGGGATCTCTTCAATATACCTTATATTTGTACTTGTGATTGTTGAATAACATGCAATTTCGAATATATCACACTTCGGTGAAACTATGACCTGTTCTTTTTTGGAAGTTAGCCTAGGTTCATCATCGCCAGAGAAGAATTCTGCAGTTTGAATTGAACATTCCTCTTGTTTAACATACACAGAAATAGTCCTAATGTCTCTGTTTAACGTTTCAGCCGTAATGGATTTGCAGCATGGACCTTTGAGCAGAATAACTTCAGGAATTTTAAAACAAGGAATTTTATCAAGAATGGTCTCATAGAAACAATCTAAAATGAAAATAACATCCGCATAAATAACCATTTTCAGGATAAAAATCCGTGAAATCAATCGATACTGTTACACATTGTTAATAACAAGATTTCCAGCTTAGGTGTCAATACAATGTGCAGAACTTTTACTTACTAAATGCTATGTTAGGAACAGCACAATGGTAAAGGTACTAAAAAACTTACGTCTAAGCTTACCTAAGTTTGGCCATTTGATTTTAGTATACTATCTTATAGGCATGCTTAATTTCCTTGCGTTTGGTCTTGCTAGTCGCTCAATTAGCTAACGCTTTTCAGAGTCAAAACTAAGCGCCTTCATACCGGAACATTTGTGTGTGCGTTTAAGTTAAAAAGTATTACAGAAATTTGTACTTACTCTTAATGTGAATGAAATTGTGCCTTGAAGATCTTGTATGATTTTCCGTTTTTGAGCCCTCTCGTTGGTAACGTATGTTTTGCGTCCCACGTTCCCATAAGTGCTTCAAGGACTTTGAAAAGAATTTGAAATCAAGTTAAACCTAAGCATTCTAAAGGAGTTGGCTAATTCTACTCCCGTCAAATGAGGGATTCATCTTGACAATGTGACTTGAGTGCTCTTACGTTTAACCATATTTTAATCATTTTATGATATTGTTGATTCGAAATGAGTATATTTGTCTAATTCTAATTGCATCAATGCCATGGAGACGATGCATGATTTATTTTGCATAAATTGAAGTTTTACGTGTGTTGGCTGGAGGGTTGTTTGTCAAATTTTAGCAAATCCGGAGTCCTTTTTAACTGGTCGCATTTACTAAAATGATTTTAAGCGTTGCAGTTTTAATCTAACTTAGTTTTCAAGTTAATAGTAGATGAAATTGGTGCTTTAAATATAACAAGCACGACAACCAATAAGGTGACCATAATTGCAAATAAAATCAGTGTTAAGGAAAAATCTCTTTAATTTCAAATAGTTTGGGTTTGCGGTATAGATCTTAATCAACACTAAGTCGACAAATTATTCACTAACTTTGGCACTGAGGTAAAAAAAAATATTTTAAAAAAAGAATTTCCGTCTTGTTTGAATTTCATCATCTAGTTCTAAAATATAAATGCGCGTTTCTATGGAATTAATTTTTTTTCTTTCGCTGCGTACACCTCTCTCCTTGCAGAGAAAGTAATGTACAACTGTCCTTCGTGGTTGCAAACAGCGTGAACAATTGGCGACGCGGTTTGGGGGTTGACATAAATCTGCTTAGATTTTAGGATATCAGTGATTACGAAAAAATAATAATACCTGAACTACCCGAATGATATTTCTTCCACATTTCATCGGCACTGCTGCACCATCCATTGAAAGGTGTTGAAAAA